GATTAGAGATCTATCCAGAAAGTGGCCAGGAGCAACGAAAGGTAGGTCCAACTGACGCGAAGAATGGATGTAGGCTACGCAAAATAGGCGGCCAATACTGGCCAAAGTGCGTAGCGAGAGATATATAAGATACGGTTAGGGTACGCGATTAGGGCACGCGATTAGGGCACGCGAGTAGGACGCGCGATTAGGGCACGCGGTTAAGGTAGGTGATTAAATCAGGGATACATTCTCCAAACCTCAGATTTCTGTTGGTTCAGCCAGCAAGTAGGATTGTTAGGGCTATAGGAACCATTAAGGCATTAAGGAAAAAGCTAGAAATAACATTACAATAATAATATCCAACTTAAATTTATTTTCAGGAAAAGTTAAAAAATTATTACAATTGCGCTAGTAGTGCAAGTTCTTTTTCTTCTACAATTAAAAGACGATGGATAACTTTATTAACGACTCTTTTGATCGCGATTATTTACACTTTATAAAACTTATTAAGCTTTATAATTGTATGTTGATTATTAAGAATAAATATCACACGTAATTAATCGTTGCTAAAAACTTGTCTATTCTAAAAAATTTTAGTAAATTATTTATTATACGTATACTTTGGACATTTTCGTGTAATTCCATGTAATAAATTATTTTGTATTGCATTTCAAATTATATTGTGTATTAAATTTCTGATTATATTTTGTATATTGTTATATATTTTGTATATTAAATTTATTATATCATTTGTTATATCATTTATTGTGTATTAAAATAAAAATAAAAATAAAAAAAACCTACCCTGAGAAATGAAAAAGAGGAAAACTATCCTCACACATTTTTCCTCCTCGATGGTATCTCTACCTTAACGAAGGCATTTGCCGGGTGAGGAGGTTTGCGTACTCTAATGAACCTGAGAGCTATGCCGGCGGTAACATATATCTGTTAATGCTTTCAGTATCAAATTATTTGCATTATAAAATATTTGTATAAATTGAATATGTATATTTGATAGTGATAGCATCATCAATATGTAAATTACATAATTATAATTGTATTTTAATTATAATTTAATATTAAAATTATAATTGTATTGTATAAAATTGTATTTATTATAATTGTATGTAAATTATATAAGATATGTATTTTTTTGTAAATTACACGAAAAATTACCAAAAGAACACGTATAATGACAATATATAGAAATTATTTCAATTAACATATATATATATTTATTTCTAAAGTATGTATTATAAAAATGTTCTGACACGCATAAATTTAACCGTGTGTGTTTTCATACCAAAGAGTCGTTGATAAAATCGGGAAATTTTATATATATTTTATATATGTTTCAAACTTTACAAATTTTACAAATATTTATAATTCTTTGATATTAAAAATATCGAATAAGAGTGTGAAGATTCGATGTTAAACTAACGGTTAAATATTAGTTTTTCATTCACAAAATTTAACGATTGTTCTCAAAATTGCAGAATCGCGAATAAATTAGTACGAATTTTATGATTTATTTTCAATTGATTGATGTATTTACGAATTCCGTATCGCAATCAAATATTTGTCAAATAAATTAATAAATTACACTGCGGAAACACCATATTTTTTCCGCGTTTTTTCCGTTCTTTCGCGATTGCTGTCCCTCTCGTCAGGTGAACCGTTTAATGTGCATTGGTGCGCACTAGTGCATCCAACTGAATTCATAAAAATTAATTGAATAATATAATTAAAAAGAAATTAAAAAGTTATATAAATAAAAAGTTATATAAATTAAAAGCATGATTTGATAATATTTAAAATGCTTAATACTTTTCAAGAATAAGAAAAAAGTGAAAGCAATTTATTGTAAATATCTTCTATATGTTATATTCAGAAATTAGGAAAAAAATTATTAAGAAATTATTTAAGAAAATTTATTTCATTTTACATGCATATATACATAAAAATACTTCAATTATAATTTATTATCGCTGTAGTATATACTAGAATTTATTTTATCTTGCAAAGTATTTGAATATTTTAAATTTTGCTGTTATCGGGTTTGATTCGTCTCGAACAGTTGGTACCCAAGAATTATTTGTATTCGCACATTTAACACGCTACAATAACGATGCATGTATTTTATTATCCGTAAATATAATTGTTTGTAACCACATTTTCATAAAAAAATTGTTATATCCATTTATTTTTCAATAAGAGATATATTTCTTAATAATGGAAGAACATGTTTTTTCGCGCAATTTTCAATCTCGCGAAATGAAGATAAATGGTTGAACTGTCGTTGATTCATTACCGAAATCATTGCTATCGGGAGCAGTCCGGAAGATCCGGGATTCGTTCCCTCCTGCAGCGGCTCTAACGTTCAACGGATCACTTAACTTTTCTTTGCGGATCGATCTTGCAAAAACTGATGTAGAAACAAGACGTTGGTCGTTCTCCGCCTTTAGGATCGTTCTTCTTTTTGTCGGATATTAACCAGCGTGTCACCCGGCGGAGGGAGGGCCTTGTTAAAATTGTTGGGTCTATTAAAAACTATTAAAACAGTCATCCGCGAGATAGGATATACATATATCTTATTGTTGATCGCGACATTCGTATAAAATCGCGTATTGGAAAATAAATCGTGGATGCTATTACAGATCTCGAATGTCCGTCGAAATATTTTTGCATAAAATAATAAATTATAATTTATTATCGCTGTAGTATATACTAGAATGACAAAACGCGCAGTTAATAAAACATTAATAAATCCATAATATTTCTCCGCATTTTTTATTCGCAATGTGTTTAGCACGGACCAATCGGTCATTTTACCAGGGCATCAAAAAATGTCTGACTATGTAGTTCCGCCGGCTCTAAAATGGATGTAGTTAGCGCTACTGTACCAGCTAGGAAGAATCATTTTCTGGTAGAATCTTTTTATTCTGGGACACACTGACGAGGTATTGCCAACAATCGACGTTGATATGTTAGTTTTAAAAATAAGAACCAATCATGTTCGATTGCTATTCAACTATTGAGTCCGCTGAATGGTCAATCACTGTTTTGTATTATATATGGCGAAACTTGGTAAGGTAAATGTCCGATGAAAAACGCCGGGAGATATCTGTGCTTTCAGTCTTTTCTCTAATTATATTTACAAATTAGAACGCCATAAAGAAAATGTGAAACATTTTTACACCGCGAGAGTAATAAGTTTTTGTTTAGAGGTTATAGATTATATGTAAATAAAATGTCTGACGAAAATGTGCTGTTTTTAAGAGGAACTGGAAATGTACGTAAAAAAATGTTCATATGAAAACAAAGACACAGAGATTGTTTATCTATACCCAAATTAAATCTATTTGTTTTGATTTCTGTGTTCTAGTTTTATGTAGTTTCTCTTGGTATATATTCTAACAATACATTTAATTTTAAGTATATTAAAAATATATAAAAAAGATTAATTAAAGGAAATAGAGTAATTAATTCTTAATAAATAAAAAACAACAGCTAACTTGAAGAATCTCAACTTAATTGTCAAGTCCTTAATTTTGTGGGAATAAGTTACAATAATTATACAAAAGCAATTTGCAGAAAAGTCGAGATGAAGATGTTTGGGATGATACAGCATTAATACAAGCATATGATAAGGCAGTAAATTTGGCTAAGGAGGAAGTAGCAAAGCGCATTGCTATGGATGCGCAGAGTCAACAAATAACCCAGAAATCGCAAAGTTCTAAACCTAAAAATCATACAAAGAAGACTCTCAAGGTGTGACATTCATATTTTATTATCATCATTTGTGATATAAAAAAGAATACATGAAAGATTTACTTTTTATTGCTGTATTATAGAAATGGACTGTTGGTGCTCCTTGCCGTGCAGTATATTCAGTAGACGGGCAAGTTTACGAAGCTATTGTATCAAAGATTCATGAGAATTCTGGCATGTGTACAGTGAAATTTGTTGGTAATTATTCTGTATTAAAATAATATAATTCTCTATGATATTTTTACCCTAATATAATACATTATTTGAAAACAAGTAAGAAAATATTCTAACTAATATTATATTAAATTAATATTAACGCTCTCTATAATATCTAGTGATACAATTTATAATGATAATAATTTACTGCAGGATATCAGAACTCAGAAAAAGTAGAACTGAGTTCTCTTCTGGAATCATTAGGATTGCAAAGTCAAATTGCTCAGCAGAAAGATGCATTAGCACAAAAAACTAATGAAGAGACCATAGATTCTGACACATCTACCTATTCTTCTCAACAAAATTCCAAACAAGTCAATGGTGAAAGAATGGATTATGACATGGAAGATTCCAGGCCTCCTAAAAATAATTTTGTGCCCGGACTTGGATATTTCAATTCGACAATAGACGCAATGCCACCTGCACCACCCTTACCACCACAATTGATGGCTAAGTAAGTTGAAATAAGTTAGAGATATAAGTAATGAAACTAAATAATATCCACTTACAGATTGCCCGAGACTGATGCAGATGCATTATCTAGTATGTTGATGTCATGGTACATAAGTGGATTTCATACAGGTAATTGTTGAGATGTTATTAATTTAAGAAATCTGCTATTGATTTAAAAAAAGATAGCCTTTAATCCCAAATGCTTGCTAGAAAAAACGACTTTAAAATAATCAACACAAATAATGTAATATCTTTAATTATATAGGTTATTATCATGGATTAAAACAGGGTAAAGTCAATCAGCAGAAAAGAAGAAATTGTCAGTAGTCTGTTTTTAAAATTTTTATCTTTCTATAGAATTCAACAAAACTTTTACATTATACATTGTATTAACAAATTTGCATTAATAAAATTCTACATATTTATTTTACAGATAAAGATATTTATTCATATCTAAATTTGCCATTTTAACGTTTATGGGAAAAAAATATATATAGTAATATAAATATTATATAAGTATATAATTTCCAATTTTATTAAATTAACTAGATAATTGTAAATAGATTAATAGAAATCTTATATGATATCTGAAGTACTCTCAAAGTATCACAATTTCACAGAAAAAAAATTGATCTAGTTATTATACGTATCATGTCTACTTATTATGTATATTACATACATATCTACTTTTTTTATTACAACTGTGAATTTAAGATTTCCTGCTGTTCTTCTACTTATTTAGAAGAACCAAATTGTTTATGCCATTCCATATATTGCGCGTTTATATGCTTGGTAGTTGGTTTCACATTGTGTTTTGCGAACACAAAGTGATTCATTGCACTGATCAGACCGTCGTTCCGAATATCGCTTATAGAAATCGCTTTAGTCTCGAGACTCTCCCAAATAGGCCGTAATTGACTAATCCATGCTTCCTTGCATAGCAGTTTCAAATCCGCGCAAGAATATCCCGCGGTTTCTTGCGCGAGTTTAAACATTTCCGATGAGTCGTGCAAATCATCGCGCACATAAAATCGTAATATTTCCAATCGACTAGGTTCGTCGGGTAGATCTACAAAAATTCGCTTTTCTAAACGTCTCAATAAGGCAACGTCTATGTTCCTAAAAACAATATAAAAATTATTTGCAATTATGGGATTTAAAAAATTAAGATTAGACAAGATAAAAAGATTCTTATACCAAATAACTTTTTGAATAAATATATTGTTGTGCTTTATAAAAATTATCGTTTAGACATATTTAACATTGAATTATTTAATTTAACTATATATATATGAAAAAATATACAATGAAAAGTTTGTTAAAGAATTTTATGCAAAAAAATAATATATTTCAAAAGACGCTAAATGTGCAAGAATTATTTTCCTTGACGATTAATTTTGTATCTTCTTTTTAAATCTGTTATTCATCAAGATCAAATTATCAAAATTATCCTTATATAATTGTTTTTTGCTTACCAAGGAACGTTTGTAGCTGCTAATAATATTACATTCGTATAATCCATTGATAATAATCCGTCTAATCTGGCGAGAAGTTCCGCTCGAAATCTTCTAGCAGGTTCTGAGCTCGACGAGCCGTAGTCCGTGTTGTTTGTGGTTGTCCAATCGATTTCATCGATAAAAATTATCGTAGGCGCATAATGTTTAGCAAGATCGGTGAGTACCTAAAGTTAAAAAAATTCTTTATTTCTTTAATTTTTCGGGAATATTATAAAAGTCATCAAGATTAATTAATATATTGCTGATTATTATTATAGATAAATTAATAATTACAGGCCGGATTTCGATATTTGTCAGAAATATAAGATGTAAAACATAATTTTTTCTTACTATACAGATATGTAAAAATTTTAATTGCATTATTTATGTATTTCAGAATAGTTTCGTGTTTATATTATCTTTATCTTGTTCTTTTAATTTTGAGTAGATATTTCATATGGTATATTATAAATGTCTAGAATTCTGACATTGTAGAAATAGATGCTTTAACAAGGTAGAAACGCTCTATGAATGTCTAATATATGTTACTTATCCTACTTACGCGAATATATTTTTCGGAGTCGCCTCTCCATTTGCTAATAACGGAGCTGGAAGTGATATTAAAAAAGGTCGATTGACATTCGGTGGCAACCGCCTTTGCGAGCATTGTCTTGCCTGTTCGAAATGAGATTTTTTTTCGTTAATTATCCGGTAACCGCAAGTAATTTTGCGATTAACTTACCAGTTCCTGGTGGACCGTATAACAATACACCTTTGCAAGAACCGAGTTTTCCGCTAAACAGACTTGGATATTTCATAGGATAAAATATAGCTTCTTTTAATAATGTCTTGCAACTTTTTAGTCCCTTTACGTCGTCCCAATGAACGTTCAATTTTTGTTGCACGATTTCCTGCGAATTATCATACTTTATTTTACATACTCGCTCTCCGTTTATGATTTTTATTATACTCTTCGACGAGTATATTACGAATCTGTATTCTGTTAGAAAAAACAATTAATGCGCCCAGTTTCATTATCAATTAAAGATATAAATTCCCAAATAATATTCAACACAAACATATACACACATATCATGTTTAGATCATTTGTTTCTTACCCGTGATATAACATCGGCGATTTCCTTCAATTCGGAACCGAGCGGATAAAGATCACCGATAGGTTTCAGTAGTCTCTCATCATTATCGGTAATAGTTTCGTTGAACATCGGCACTTGTATGGCTACTCGATCGCCACTTTCCGCAGGAAAAATTGGCGTCACCGTAATACCGAGATTTAATTCGTCCCAAGCGCATTGTTTTTGCGCGATTTTATTTTTTCCAATATTGTTGCATTCCTCCGTAAGACGACTATCCTCTTGCTTCGAATTAGGAATCTTTATGATTTTCTCTTTTCTATTGCTATTCTGCGAAAGATTGAAATTTAATCCGGGAAAATCAGAAGTCCCTTTTCTCGACAGATTTAATAATAAATTGTTAACAACATAATATCTTTGAAAACTGTTCTTAGCTCATTGAATATACAAAAGAATTTTGCAAGGAGAAACGTGTGTTTGTTATTATTCTCATATATTCAATAAATGATTAGTTATTGCGTCACTCGTTAAATTTCTAATATTCTATATCACTTCTCCGATTAATTTCTATATTTCTTACACGCTTTGTGCCACATTTGCGACGGCTTCCGCCTTCTTACATAATTTCGGATATCTGTTGTACTTGGCATGATAATAATCGGTATACTCAAGAATAATAGTCTCCAGATCGATATTGTCGCATACGTGAATATCTCGGGACAGCTGAGCTTCTTTGATCAGACTCTCCGCGGTATTAGAATATCTATAAGGAATATTGATATAATTTGATTCTCGTTGCATAATTATTGATACGGTTATTATGTTTGATTCGTGTTAATAAACTTTGAATTGAACAACTGCGATATGAAATTCACTAATAATTGTGTAAACTCACCCTTGTTCCCGTAAAAAGGCAGTGATAAGATAAATAAGATGGCGCCGAC